CAATCTACACCAGGGGAGGGTCGGTTGGACCATGCAGAAGCACAGTTAGTGGAGTCAGACTATATTAGGAAGTGCTTGAACAAGGCTTTTCATGGGATCACCAGTTTAATGAATGCTGCATATTTAAAAAGACGGAAAACATTTGAAAATACAGTGACATTAAAGTTTTTATGAGATTGTATTTAGACCTACTTTAGGATCTCTTGCTGGCTCTAACAGTTATAATAAAAGCACAAAATACCACTAATTGTGAGAAGGTTGCTGAATCTCTTGCTATTCAGATAAACTTTTAGGGATCATACACACCATACAAAATGCCTTACTATTGTAGCGCTCACCCCCTGAAGGAGCTGCTGAATGCCCGGTTTATCTCTAGTTTGTCTAGTGTATGTTCTTCAGCTGCCCACCCATTAGCACTAACCGCCCTTCTTCTGGTGCCCACAAACTGATGTCGACTCCAGTAATAAAATGCAAAGTAACGGTTTATTGAACATCTTCACTGGGGAGAGAGGGTATGGGGATTCTAGGTGTCCAGGGGTAACCAACAAGAGCTCCAGACTCACCAGACCTTGTAGGTAAATCAGTGTAGATCTACTTGTGAGACAGCGGACAGCAACTGATGTAGCGGATAAGCAGGATGGATACAGATCCTCAAGCAGGAAACACACCGACCTTACTCCTGAAGTCCTCTTAGTTCCAGGGTACTTCAAGAGCCTGCATTGGTCCTGGTTCTCTTCCTTTATCAGCATCACAGGCCTCCTCCATGTTGGCGGCCTCAGGGAAACCTTTCCCTCACACCAGCCCATGCCCACCCTCAGGCATAGCCTGGGGGGCAGGTTGAACAGCACCCAGCCCTATTCCATGGCTGGTACTGGCAAGATCGAGCACATGGCCAATCCCACCAGTATATGTACCCTATCCCAGCATGCACCACTGGCTGAGAGAGAAACTCAGTTATTGGCTGCTGTACTGTACATACACTACAGTGCCTCTCATTGGCTGTCCCACAATATGACAGAATCACACTCCACCCAGTGTGGTACAGGCAATGCCAGACACCTGGGATTAACCAGATAGCTGCCACTATAATTTCAGCCAGGCTGACTACAGCCCTGGCTATCACTAAATGTCTAGTAGCCACATCACAGAAGGTGATTGGGGCTACACAAGGCAAGGCAATTTGCCTTGTCACAGACAGACTCGGTTCACACCACCATGTTGCGATTGGAGCGCAGTGGTGTGTGCTGAAATAAAGTACAGCATGCTACTTTTATTTTAGCGCAACAGGATGCGATGCAGAACAACCATCTCACGCCCCACTGTGCTTGTAGTACTGACTGAAATATCACCTGTGACATTCCAATAAAGTTCTAGCAAAAAAAGCACATCAGCACTGTGTCAGGCAATGCACACAAGCCTCTGTGCATTTAGCACTTATGCCCCCTGTCAAGAGATTATTACTGTCTATGCCACCACTAGGTAGGTATTTGTCCTGGCCAGTGGGTCACCATAGTCACTAAGACATCAGGCGAAGGGAAATAAAAAATAATCAAATCAGAACTTAACTTCAAAAAATGTGAGAAGGTAGGCACTAGGGATGCACCGATACCAGTTCAGATACCAGTGCCGATACTTGGCATTTTCATGAGAACTACCAGGGTTGCAGCTGGGACCTGGCTCTGGCGCTCCACCACTGTCCTGAAATCATTAGTTTGTATTGTTTTAGAAAAACTGTCACATAACAATAAACAAAAATGTATCAGTTAGAGATGCACCGATATATCGACCGCCGAAACATATCGGCCGAAAATGGCACATTTGGCATAATGCAGAAAGTGCCATTTTCCTGCCGATACATCGGCGCATCCCAGCTTTCTCTCCTCCCCGCTGAGCGCTGATCTGTGTCCCAGCGGGGAGGAAAGAAACTGTGATAGCCGACCGAGCGCAGCGGAAGGAGAGCACTGTGAGTGGCCTGCGTCTCCTCCCACACTGCTCAGCCTCCTATCACAGTCCGACAGAGCAGTGTGTGGGCAGAGACAGTCCCCGCTGTCACAGGAGGCTGAGCTCTCCTCCCTACACCACTGGAAAAATATTTTTTTTTTGAAAAATTCTTTTTATTAACTCGAAAAATATTTAATAAAAAATGAATGAATAAATAAATATTAAAAAATAAAAAGTTTATAAAACAAAAAAAATATTTTAAAAATGTGGAAAAAATTAAATAAAAAACATTTTCGGTATCGTTTTCGGCCTGACAATTTTTTTTATTTCAGTTTCGTTTCGGTTTTAAAATTTCCATTTCAGTGCACCTCTAGTATCAGTACTTGTGTCTGTTAGTACTCGGGAAAAGTATCAGTACTTGTACTTGCAAAAATGGTATCAGTGCATCCCTTTATTTATATTTATAAAAACAAAATCATACAATAAAACAGAGATGCGCAAAAATGCACCTTTGCCTGTGTAGGCAAAAATCCTTGCACCGGCCCTGGGGACGTTCACCCGGCGGGATGAGGTATGCCGACGGGTCCCCTTCTCTCCCCTTGATACTGTCGTACTCTCGGTCCACGACTGTGTGCCCGTCTTTTTAGTGGGGATGACACCAAAATGAATGTCAGTCATTTTGGTGTCACCCCTGCAATGGTGTCACCCGGGTGCGGGCCACCCCCCCCCCCCTAATTGTCACCAGGAGACATGATGGTAAATCTTCCATTGGGGGCACCTGTGCCTTGACAAACTAGGAGTGGGAAATTCAAGTCATATTACAAGAAACAGTATACTGGTATTTTGATCATTCAACTGTAGCAACAGTAAATTATGTTTGGACGCAAATGTTTTTTTTAAGGTGTATTAATTCATGTATTTATTTCTTGTGTAATCACATCTGAAAGACATGTCAGACATCTTAAAAACATGCATCATACATACATATACATCATTGTCCATTAAAGAACAACTCCATGTAAAAATGTTATTAGCCCTTGTAGTGTGGCTGCCCCCTCACTGCAAGGGTTAACTGCTCGTTTTTGTCTGGGGTCAAAAATAACAGTTATGCTCACCCGATCCTCCAAGATGGCTGGCTGTGACAGTGCACCTTCCTGCCTGTCTCCTCCCCCTCTGCAGGGGGGGCTCCAGGGCAAGCTGGCACGGCACAGAGGATCAGGTGAGTATAACTTTTTTTTATTTTTGACTCAAGGCAAAAAGCGGCACTTGACCCTTACCCCACTGAAAGGGTTAATAAAATGTTTACCCGGAGTTCTGCTTTAACATGGGACTTTTTTGAGATTCATACAGATACTACAAGGATTAGTACAACAAGGGGGGGGGGGGGGGGGCAAACAAAATAACCAGATAACAGGGATTTTTAAACCTACCTGCCCATATACTAAATAATTATTTTTTCAAATGAACGGGTAAACAAAACCAATGTTTGTCTCTACACCACACCCTTAAAGTGAAATTAAAGTCAACATGTTTTTCAGCTATTTCATATGCTGATGAAATCACTGACACTGGATGCCGCTCCTTGATGTTTAAGGGCTAGTTCACATCAGCCACATTCTGGTGCGCCAGACGCACTGCGGCTGAAGGGCGTGGCTGAGGTGCCATTGACTTCAATGCACGGCCACGCCCCTAAAACAAAGTGAGCCGGCCAGGATGCAATGAGGCTGGTGTCATATAGCCCTAAAAGTTTTAGTTTCTTGCTGAATCAGCTGACCCCCTGAGCACTGACCCTGATATTCTGTCTAAGGATGACTCCTTTCCCTTGCAGGGTCCTATGGAGCCACCTTTGTGTGTATAAGTCAGCTGTGTGTGTCTCCACAAACACACAGACACGTCAGGGCAATCCAATCCTCTGCTCCTTCTCCAGGCTAGTAGATGGACAGTTGCTGGAGACTGCCCCCTCTTGTACTGGACAGGAAGTTCAGAGAATGAAGCAGGAGGGGTTTGTCAGTGGGTCTTCTCTTATGTATTTGTATTTATTGCTCTTATTTTTGTGGTTTTATTGCTATGATTAAGGTCCCTTTGTGGACTGAAAGATGTTAGCAATTTTTGTAGCTGCTTTTATGCCTTTTCAATAAAGAGACGCCATTAAGAGGATTCCTACAAGTGCCAGCTCTTTTCCACTTCATTTTGTTGATTGGGTCCAGCAGAGACTTACGCTGAGCATCGCGGTTCCCATGGAGTATCGGGTCTAGGTAGAGTGGCTTTATTCTTGCACTGGTTCAGGGAAACTGAGTTGAGAGAGTCGGAACTGTTTAGAAACATGATGACTGTAAGTGTTGGGTAAAAATAATAAAAAGAAATACTTTGCTGGACAGTGTATATTTGTTTGATCTGGATTCATCATTGGACATAAAGATTGAGAGTTTAATACGACTTGAAAGAATTTACATTTCTTGTGAATCCATATATTAAATAGTTGGAGCTGAGAAATTCATGTCACTTTGTCGAGATTTCCTCTCGTTTCCTGTTGCATTTCTGGGACACAATAAAAAAGTTAACTGAGCGGAGGAGGCTGATCATAGGAGGAGACTGGAAGCAACTGCTTTATATGTCATGGAAGCAGAGCTTTGCATTCACACAGTCCCTTTTGCTGGTGAGACATGTGGCATGCTGCTGGAATCATATAGCCGAGCTGTGCATGAAGTACAACAATCTCATCTCTTTATCTTTATTCGCGTCATACAGGTCCCTCTATAGAGACAGTCTGTAAAAATGTCCGGCTCTCAGAAAAGTTTATCTAAAGGTAGGTGGTTGTGTGTTCTTCACATTTGCAGAATGCAAGCTTTTTACTTTATGACAGGTCACTGAGTTCTAGAGCCGTTGTAAAGGCATTAAGGATTGCCCTTGTAGATGATATCAGGATGTACATTGATACCAAGGTATAGAGCTTTGAATGATAACCAGGCCCTGGGCTTCTAATAACAATGAGAAGTTTGTATGTATTTCTATAGAATGGCTGCTTGGCTGTACAGATGGTTCCTATGTGCAGGCCCCAGTCTGACTATGCTTACAGCACCCGCTGTGGATACACAGAACTGACATGTCCAGAGGGTGGTGGGGCCACAAGACTCTGCAAACAGCCAACAGGATGATGAGCTGGCTGTCTCTGTCATTTCTGTATATAATGATCATTCTACAACTTGTATGTGAAGCAAAAATAAAATATAATTCAAATGTTGTATTGTGCTTTTATATGCAGCAAAATGCTGATCTTAACGTCAAAATGGAAACAATGTAAAGGGCAAGAAAAGCAAGGTGTGTGTGTGTTTGTTTGTTTGAGCGCTTCCTTTTATTTTTAAATAATATAAAAACTTCCATGTCTGCATTGAATATAAGGATTGTTTGGTGTAATTTCCAGAGATGCTGCTTGTTTTGCAATACAGTAATCAATTTGGCATTTTAAAATTAGGAAGCCAGCTGTGTATTGTAAATTACCTGAGACAACGACATATTTAGGGGAATTTATCAAAACTAGAGCAGTCAGAATTTGTTACTATGGGCATTATGGATTCTGCACCAGTTTTGATAAGTTTGATAGTTTCGTGATCTGTGTGCCAAATATTCGGCCTATCACCATCAGTTTATCACCCTCAGTGTGTCTCTAAAAAACTGCACACGTGTTACAATTTGATTGTACGATCAACTATAGATCAACCAAAAGTATAGTGCAAGAGCCTGTTTGATTGGATGCAGATTGATTGGATGGATCTAGTCTGTCCTTATATTACATAATTTTGGTCTAAAATTGATTGTACACAGATTGTATGGTCAGATTGTAACATGTATAGAGGCTGTAAGCCCCCATCACACCATAGCGTTGTGGAAATGTATATTTGTTTCCGACGTTTGGCACGCGTCACTCCCTATTGATTTAATTGGTTTCCTGGACCCGTGCCAAACATTTACAGGGTTATTCATAAAAGGGTGAAGAGTTTGGAGAAGGCAGGAGAAGTGAACAATCTAGGACAAAATCAGCTATGTTGTCCTAGATTGTTCACTTCTCCTGCCTTCTCCAAACTTTCCAAACTCTTCACCCTTTTGTGAATAACCCTGTGAGTTTGCTAGGCTGACTTTGGGGTACCATTAACTAGTGGCACTGCAAGGGCGCTCCATGTTTGGTGTAAGTTTCGTGAATGCGCGTCGAAGTGAGCACCTTTGTGCTCATATTTGATGCGTGTTCACCATACGCTATGGTATGAACGGGGACTAAGACTCTAGGCCCCTTTCACACCTTTCCATTCTGTTGTGTTGAGGTCAGACAGGCTATTCATTTGAATGGGCTGCCAATATACCAGAATGGACAGAAAAACTTTAGCTGGATCTTTCATTTCTGATGCAGCACACCACAATACCTGCTAGTACGTTAACATGCATTGCGGAGAGCTGCCATGCAGATGCGTTGTGGTGATGTTGACAATACAGGGAATGGCATGCAAGGCACTAAGAGGTTTAATGTCCATTGTGTTACACATTTATCCTTGAATGTTAAATATTTACATATATTGACTTGTTTGCCATTTATTACAATTCTCACATATGAAACCTCCCATTGTGTGCAATACGAGGTTCAAAGTGTAAATCTGCAACCTGAACTACATTCCAGCGCTGAAGGTGTGTTCTGTATGGTGACAAGACCTCTTTCTCAAAACATATTGGGGGTATTCATAAAAACTGGAATAGACAGAATCTGGAGCAATTGCCTGTGACAACCAATCAGCTTCTCTTTTCAGTTTGTTCAGTTAAGCTTTAAAAATGAAACAAATCTTATTGGTTGCCATGGGCAACTGTTCCAGATGTGTCTGCTCCAGTTTTCATCAATTCCCCCCATTGCATTTGAAATAAAGTGAATACAGTTATATTTCCATGAAAAGAATGTTAACTCTGGGTTGTCCCTGAACAAGTCAGTTTGCTGCTTGAGATATTATATGAGATTATCCTATAAGGCCTCGTTCACGCTGTTGCCCTGTGTTAGCGCACCGACAATATGCAGTGTGTAAGTGTGCGTTGTGTTAAGGCAGCAGCCCATTAATTTGGCTGGGGTTGGGGTGCTGTTCAAAATGAATAGCATCACAATGCACTAACGTGCGTCACAAGTGTTAACACAGCACAGTAGTGTGAAGGGGTCCAATTAACACTTGTGCGTTGCGGCAATGCATATTACAATGTTACCACAACACACCTGCTCTATCTGCGTTGCAGTGCCGTTAATGGCACCCAAACATATGATACAGTATACATACTGTGCATTGTGGTGAGTTGCATTGCTTGTGTGGTTTTTGGTCTGTTTTGAGTAGGGTCTAAAAGAATTAAAAAGCCCTGTGTTCCTGTAGCACAATAAAGCCAGCTTAAAACAGAAGGTATTCATATATCTCATCCCATCACATATCCCAAGAATAAGAAGATTATTCTTTATTGCAGGACAGTGGGCAGAGCCATGCACTGTTTTGGGGGGGGTTTGATAAGTTTTGTTCTTTCTCACCATAACTGTATGGTCATGCCATCTCGTTGTGTCCCAAACCCTACACTATACTCCAGCGGTTTTGGAAATACATTTGGCTGTTGGGGCATAAAGGAATGATTTGGGCTCTGCCCACTGTCCTGAATAATTCTCTAATTTTGGGGATATGTGATAGAATAAGACAGGTAAATACCTTTTCTTTTGTGAATGCTTTACTGTGCTACACACTGATTCAGTTTGAGGGCTTCTTGACACCTTTAGTCCCTTCTCACCATAGTCTGTATGGTCATGCTGTCATGTTTCCTCCTGAAATCGACTATCAGATTGACTACTCTTTGTATAAGGTTAGTGAATGTCTAAGGAGGTAGTGATTGATGTGCACAGTCCATTGTTCTCTCACACAGCCTGTGTAACAATACATATTTTTGTAAAGTGTCTACTCCTTTTGATAAAAGGGATCTAACATCCAGAAGTTAGAAACAAAAAAACCCATAATATACAGTATGTACAGTATGTATATTATGGGTTTTCTTTTGTTTGTAACTTCTGGTTGTAAATGAAGATTTCTAAAGACTAGTGGACATAAATGTTTATGAAGCACATGACTTGTATGGAGGCATAAAAGCAAGGGCAAAGTGAGTTTAAATCAATATTAAAGTGACACTAAACGCAGGAGTTACATTTTAAAAATGCATTCAAGTATGTTAACTATTAACAGAAATGTATCTTATTTGTGTATCACTCGGCTGTAGATACTCAAATCATCTCTAAACTGGTGCCGACACTGTCTTCCTTCTGGAGGGTGGCTACTTTTGTTCCCCGAGGTCCCTGTGTGTGTTGTAAACTAGTCACCGCTCCAAGCTCGCTCTTGTGATAGACTACAATCTCATGTTTAGTTTACTAATTTGTACTGTATTTGTAGTACATCACAGGAGCGAGCTTGGTGCGGTGGCTACTGTACAATACACACAGGGACCATGGGGAACAAAAGTAGCCCCCCTCCAGAAGGGAGGACAGTGTCAGCACCAATTCAGAGATGATTTGAGGATCTACAGCCGAGTGATACACAAATAAAATACATGTATGTTAATAGTTAGGGTACTTGAATGCATTTTTAAGATTTAACTCTTGAGTTTAGTGTCACTTTAACTGATCACATGTGCACTAGCCCCAACAATTAATACTTCCAGGTGAAAAATAAATATTTTTGTAGCATTCGTACGTCTTAGATGTTATTGATGATTGTGCATTTCAGGCAGTGCCGCCCCAGGGCCAGTGCCACAAGGGTTGATTCGACTATACAGTATGAGGTTCGGCCCCTTTCCCCAGAGAGCAAGACTCGTCCTGGCTGCTAAAGGAATCAAGTAAGGAATTTAGCTGCATACTGTCTGATGATATATAATTATATGCTGCTTATGGATTTGTGTGTTTAAATGCTGTACCTCTTACAGTGTACATTTTACACTTTGAAAATTGGAAAAATGGTTTACTAAAGCTGTGGACACTGTTAACGAGGTAAAGTGAATGTCAACTGAGCTTTTACGCTTTTACAAACTTGTCAATGGGGACTGCAGTACCCTGATGAAGATGCGAGGGCACAAGAAGAAGTTGGAGGGAGGAGGTATATTCATTAACTGTGTAAGAGGTTTTTTTACTTTGAGAGGTAAAAATGGGGAATTCACTTCCACAGATAGCTGCATCAGCGGGAAACATAAACTGCTTCAAAAAACACTTGGGAGTTCCAAGTACAAAACATACAGAATTATTAAAACTCCAATCTCTCCCTCTCCTTCACCTTGTTGCCTTTAAATGAATGGTCTTTGCTCCTACAGTAAATCAACCCCACTGAGAAGGAAGGGCATCTATTAGAACATGACAATTTGGTCAGCACAAAGGCAAACATTCTCTGATGGTAGTATGTAACAATGTTATTGAGTCACTCTAAATAAGCTTCTGGATGTTACAAAATAAATACTTTAATGTTTCATTATTCCAAAATGTAAATATAAAGGTTTATTGACACCTTACAGTCAATGCTATATAAGCTTGTTGGACTTCCCAATTAAAAAATCATGGCCATTAGTATGGAATGGTTCCCATCCTCTGCAGCTATAGCAGCCTTCACTCCTTCTGGGAAGGCTTTTCCACGAAATGTTAAAGCTTCTCTGTGGGTATTTGTGCCCATTTAGCCAAAAAGACCATTTGTGAGGTCTAGTAGTGATGATAGACGAGAAGGTCAAGCAGGGGTGTATCTACTGCAAGGCAAACAAGGCATTTGCCTAGGGGGGCACTTTCCAGGGGGGCGCCAAAAAATGCTGCCCCCAAACCAGTTAGGTGAGAGAAAAAAAAATTATATTATAAATTATTCATAAATTACTGCCAGTACTCCTGGACCCTGTGCTTCTTTGACTGGGGGATCAACGTGTCCACCTATGCCGCCTACTCCTACATGTATGCTGCAGCTCCTTCCTCTTCCTAGTCAATGTGCTGTGCAATGTATTGGTGTGTGTGACCTTCGTCCACATGCAGTGGCAGTTCGGACCTCCCTGGGAAACCGGCACCCAAATTTCTGACTTCAGGCAGCAAAGGAGCTTCCGCAGGACCCCCAGGGCTGAGATCCAGATGGTCATCGTGCTCATTGGCACCTCTGTGGTGGTGAGTCTGAGGTAGTGCAGCCTATAAACTCCATAAAGAGTTATGTCTCTGGAGCTGGGCAAGCTACAGAGCCCTGCAGCCAAAGCAGAAGATTGGTAACTGCAGAATTAGAGGGCCCAGCATATTATGGCAGAACATCGGTGTTGCAGCTGCAGAACTAGGGAGCCCATCAAGCCAGGAATGGAGAAGGCGGCTACTGCAAAGATAGAACTAGAGCGTCACGCTACGTTGATAGCGCAACCTGTCAGAATCTAGCTACACCGTGCACGCTGTATCCCACAACTGACAGGTTATGCAAAATGTCTTATACAGGAAGGAATGGGACTAGTTTAGATTAGGGATGAGGGGGGTGCTCGGGTTTAGTCTTGCCTAGGGCAGCACAAAACCAAGATACACCACTGAGGTCAAGTCTTTATCAGAAAGACCTTTCCCAAACTGTTGCCTCAGGGTTGGAAGTGCACAATTGTCTAAAATTTCTTTGTATATTGTAGCATTAACAGTACCCTGGAAACATTTGAATCTGAGGTTCATGTTCACAGCACATGCACACCCATACTGCATCTTTCTTTAACCAGTTGACATCCGCGGTGTTAAACCCCCTTCCCATCCAGGCCATTTTTCAGCGTTTTTTTACTACGGGCGGACGGCAAGAGGTTAAGAGTACATCAGATCAAGAAGATCTCAATGAATGCAAGAGGGGAGCAGAAGCATATATGCGATGCCCCCCTCACATAGGATTCTGCCAGCCATTTTGTTCAGTCCCCTCCCCCACCTTTTTCTGCTTTTATCTGACAGTTAGAGTTCTCCCTTATGGACATCTGTGTGGGCTCATGCTTCCTCAGACCTATAAAAGAGAGTTAAGCCAGGTTAGAAGTTCCAGTTGGTTGTAGCAGCAACAGCAAGCTCATCCCACCTCCCCCTTTTTCCTTGCAGCCTTGAGTTTGTGATTGTGTCACTTCAAGTTTGAAGGGGACAGTGTTTTTAAGATTATGGGGTTGATTTACTAAAGGCAAATGGGTTGTTCACTTTGCAAGTGAATTTGCACCTTACAGGAGAAGTATCTTAGCTTGAATAGGGTGAAGTTTCACTTTGAAACATATAGCCAATCATGTGCAAGACTTAAAAAAATAAAATTAAAAAAAGCCAATTTTTGTTTTGCTTGCATATGATTGGGTAATGAAAGCCTACAGCGCTTCACTGTAGATGAAACCTTTTTATGTTGCAATAGTTTTCATTTTTTAAAGAAGAATAAAAGAAAATAATGAAACTTTCATTACCAGCAAAATAAAGATAGGATGTTGGGATCACTAGTTTGTCTATATCAATCTTGCTTTTATATTGACCATCATAATCTCCCAAATTACATATTTCGGAAGTATAGTCATTTTAACAGTGTGTGTCTATATCAACATTAACATCAACTTATGTCATCCCCTCAAAACTATGCCTAGCCCAACACATTACTGAAACCAGTATAGAAGTACATGTTACTGTATGTGGGCATTATTTCTTGTATCATATTGAAAATTTTACGTCAGTCACTTGTAGACTGGACTTGTTGTATAAGTAAGATGCATGTAATCAACAATTACAACGAGGTAAGGTTTGCAAAGAGAAGCAGGGAAAGAAACAAGGAAAATAGGACAGAGATCTTGAAATGAAAGGTGGCCATTCAAGAGAATTGTATTGTATCCGGGTTTGCCATGTTTGATCAAATAGTGTGTGTAATTTAGGATGCTCGTTAGTGTATCATTAAGTATAAATCAGTTAAGTTTCCATTTGACAAGCTCCACAGGAACTGTAGGCTTCCATCAGCAATGGACAATCACGGTTTTGGCTAATAGCAAGATTTATGAAATTAGCCTGCTGGTACCTCCTAAGGATTGTTGAGAAGTTAGTACATGGCAATACATCAACTGGGGTTCTTTTACGATTAACAAAGGTCAATGTAGTGATCAATGAAAACTTTCTAATACACAACCTTTGTATTTTTGAACATGACCTGACCAACTCTGATTGCTTTTAACATGCCATGCTTACCACAACACACTAGTGTCATGGGACCCAAAATCTTATATTGGTTGCCGTGGTTTAACATACCAGACCTCATGTATTCTTGCAATCTTATCTGCTTCTGGTCATGGTGGTGGTTGTTTTTACCTTGATAAGCAGGTGGCAGTAGAGGACAACCATATAGCTTTGTAGAGTTTTTTTTTTTTTCTTATAACATATTGGGATTTTTGAATATTTAGAACATCTGACACAAGTGTGTTGGGCATAGGCGTATGTGGCATACAACACTTCACCTTATTTCACTTGTTTTTCTTGTGGGTTATCATTGTAGGCATGAAGTGGTAAACATCAATCTTAAGAACAAACCAGACTGGTTTGTTGAGAAGAGTCCTCTGGGTCTGGTACCTTCCATTGAGACTTCTGATGGGAAAATCATTTATGAATCGCCAATTGTTTTTGAATACCTGGATGAAGCCTTTCCTGGGGTGAAGCTGATTCCATCTGACCCTTATGCAAAAGCTGAACAGAAGATGTTGCTGGAAACTTTCACTGCAGTATGTATGAAGAGAACTATATGTACTTTAGTGGGTGGTGGAAAGTGTAGGTGGAAGCTATTTATTTTAGACCAGTGATCCCCAGACTGCGGCCTTCACTTTCACATAACTGACCTTTTTAGGGCACAATTCTTCCCAATGACACCAACAATGGTGCATTATTCTTCCCAATGATGCTAATAATTGTGCACTATTCTTCCCTCTGACACCATTGATAGATCATAATAAACAGAGCACTAAAGATGCCTAAAAAAATTAAATAAAAATGAACTTGCATTCAACAATAATTTGTGTAATGCCAAACATATAAAATTAATGTGCAATATGTCACTTTAAAAGCTCAGCGTGAATTCACACTTTTGATGTTTAGAGGAAATCTAGTTTAGAGGAAACCTAGATACTGTATATCTAGTATACATATAAGTAGTGCTAATCTTTTAATTTTTTAACAATGTATATGGTTGGTGATCACTGCAGCTTCGCATTCCTTCTCACAGCCGCTGCAGTCAGTGACAGCAAGCAGCTGCGGAGGAGGAGGGGGGTACAGGCGTCGGCAGCGGAGGAGGAGGCGGGGCCCGGCAGTGAAGGAGGCTGACAGCGGATCGGGGCTGACAGGTAAGAGGTGTGCAGAGGTGTGACCAGCCCACCTGAGACCCTGCAAAGCCCACCATAGGGGGGGGTGGGAAGATGGGGGGTTAGGGGGGAAGAGAACACACAAGGTCAGCCTAAAATATTTATGTACTCCGCCAACATGCACCACTAGCCATGAACCCCCTAGTGATTGACTAGGGAGACACAGATATTCATGACACCACATTATTGGATGCTCTGCTCTGTGGCACCGTCACACTCAGCTGCAGGCAGATGCAAACAATAACAGAGTGCTTAGGGAAAACCAAATTAGCACAGACTATCAATTTAACTACGCTGGATACAGTCCTGTAGAACTAAATGTAAGGAATCACCCTGCTTAGGACAAGGTGGCTACACTGGCAAATTGCATTGCTGAGTGCTTTGCAGGCACTGGCATAAACAGCATATAAATCACCAGTGTATACTCGAAGATACCTAAGCTGATCAGGAGCTCTTGAAGAAATCCACTTCTGGATGTAATGTGTCAAGCTTGGAGATGATGTTACTTTGTCGGAAGCACACACAAGGACAGGAGCAACTTGGGTTTCTTCAGGTGTATGCTGAGGATGTGCAAGCAGTTCATTCCAGTGCTGCCAAAGCACTCGGCAATGTGAGTTGGCAATTTTTGTTTTTATGTGATGTTATTTTTAAAATATTTGCTACACTATGGGGCTGATTTACGAAGCCCAACACGCACACGCGCAGGCTGCGCGCGCGTTTTAACCTGCAAAAATGCAGGTTAACACGCACATCATGGCGCGGTTTCACGCAGGCATGGCGCGTTTTTATGTATTTACTTACGCGCGTGTAGACCCCCCATCACAGTTGAGATTCCCAAAAAAGTGGGGTCCCCCCATCAGTCCTACCAGACCACTGATCTGAGCACTGGCCCGGCAGGGCAGGAAAAGGGGGGGACGGTTGAGTGCCCCCCCCTCCCTGCGCCTTACTAGGCCACGTGCCCTCGGCATTGGGAGGGTGTCCCCGTGCCGATGGGGACAAGGGCCTCTTCCCCACAACCCTGACCCGGTGGTTGTGGGAGTCTGCGGGCAAGGGGGCTCAATTGCATCGGGGTACCCCTTTAAATAAGGGGCACTTAGATGCCGCCCCCCCCTTGTGAATGAGTAAGGGGTATGAAATATGAAATCACAAGACCAGACTTTTGAAAAAATCCTTTATTCACACAAAAAACAAACATGCCGTTTTTGACAATTCCTTTAATCCCCCCCCCCCCCCAAAAAAAAGAGGCTCCATCGATGTAATCCTGCGGCAATCACGGGCGCAGGACTGAGGGGGGGCGCCGTCACGAACCCCGCTAAATGAAGCCATGGCTCCCTCTCTCTGACACGATCACCCGGCTGTCATCGGGCGGCCGCTCGCTCTTCCGAGGCCACTGCGAGCGGCCCTCTACAGTGCCTGATTGGGGAGCCGCGTCAAGAAAGTTTACAAGGCTAATGACCACTGTATTTTGTTTCACATTTTTACAGCAGCTGAGGCTGAGCTGATGGTGCTGCAAACATTTTACATTTTGAAGGTGTTACCACCTGACAAACGCGACCATAGAGATGAATGGGTACATGGTGTGGTAGCTCAATTAAAAAATTCCTTTTGGGATAAAAAAAAAACGCATTTAGCTGGCAGCTGCATCACCTTTTGAATGCCGGGCAGCCGCTGCTCTACCGCCCTCTGAAAAGCGATCCATTGCTTGTCAGATAGTGGTGGAACCTGCATTTATCTATATAGTTATTTTTCAGAATTTGTATACCTCATGAAGGGCCGTATTAGCAAGCAGGCAAAGTAGGCATATGTCTACAGGCAGCAGCATCTTGGGTGTAGATATGTTTAAATGCAGCCCATTTAATGAGAATGGAGTAGACAGCTGCCTGGCAGCTCAAGAAAAAAAAAAAAAGGCCTGCACTGTAGTGCATTATTGCGCCAATACTCCTGGTTTACACTAATGCAGTAGTGTGTAGACAACCTTAATCTACCAGTGTTTCCAATCATGAATCAGTCTTGAACATATTATACTAAATCAAATGCCCATTCATAAAGCACTGTAAACACTCTCCAACTGTGGTAGCTCCTTCAATAAAAAGTGGATGCTTACATCAGTAGAAAAAGTGAACTAACCAATCCCCATATAAAATAAAGATGGCGTTTCCTATAGCAACTCATCCCTAAAGCCAGGCAAGTCCAATGATCTTGTACAATATCCTCAATAACTGCTAAAGGGCTAATAGGCAAATGCTTGTCCAGAAAAATAAACCGTTATAAACTCCACCAATCCTGAAGGCTGAATCAAGCATAAAGCTCTTTGATGTTACTATAGCAGGCTAGAATGCAGGTACATGGATGGTACTACATAGGATGTACTGTAAAAATAATAATCATCATTCATCATCTATGCTCCTATCAGACATCAGGGTATACCTAAACTAATACTTCATCCTTTGTTGTTTTTTTAGATCACACCTGTATTTTACAACATTATGATTGCACATGAAAAAAATGAAGACGCAACAGAATTAAAATCAAAGTTCCTTGAGATTTTAAAAAAACTGGAAGAGGTAAGATTTTTTTCTTGTTTTGGTTGGGGGAACACTGCATGATGGAGTGTCTACCCTACCCCCCAGCTCCACTCTATACATCGTGCTGCACATTATACACTCCGCACTGTACACTGATAAACCCTGAATGGACTAACATCTGTTTGTGACACACACACACCATTTTTTTTTTTATTTCAAAGAATTTTATTAGCAACAAAGGGACACAAAGGGCGCAAAGACAATGAAGCACTAGCTAACTTGGCAGACCGTGATAGGAAAATAACTGTATAAGCACTTACATATAGATCCTGAGACCAGAGGATGGATGGCCTGACAGGGCAGTACAAGGGAGGGGGGCCACTGGAAAAGCACCTTGTCCCCATGCCGTTGAGCCTCATCCCCACAACCCTGACCCGGTGATTGTGGGGGTCTGCGGGCGTGTAGGGGCTTACCCCTTTTCATAAAGATACTGACCCACCTTGTGAATAAGTAAGGGGTACTTGGACCCCTACTCATTCACTAAAGGGTTAAATCAAAATGTAAATAAACACACCAGACTTTTAGAAAAAAATACTTTAATTGAACAAAAATATACAAGAAAAGTTTCTGACCAGTCCTTTAATTAAAAAAAAAAAAGATCCAACAAGGTAATGCAAGGTCAATCACGTCGTCCAGCGATGTCCACACCACCGACTCGTCAAAATAAAAAAAGCTCCCCCACCGCACGCGACAAACTCACGGCAAAATTAGCATTTTGACAGGTGTCAGCTGAGTAGAGTCAGATAGGCGGAGCTAGCAGTGACCTCACCGCTCGCTCCGCCTATCTGTTGACATTCTGCCAGCACCTGTCAAATCACTATTAAAAGGTCCCGGCAGAATGAGAACAAATGGGCGGATCCAGCTGTGACGTCACGCTTTCTTGTCCCTCCCCTTTCCTGCCCTGCCAGGCCAGTGCCCGAATAAAGGGTCTGGTTGCAAATTATTTGGCAATGGGGTTCACCCTTAAAATTTCTACCAGACCTAAATGGTCTAGTATAAATCGGGAGAGGAACCGCCGTGGCGTGGTTTTTTAAAAAAAACTAGGTTTTCAGCTTTGGCAGACCGTTCTTCCTGCTTCGACTGCTGTACCCCCTTTTGACTTAGCCAGGTTGACTACCAGCATGTGTAAAGTCGTACGTATGAATGACTGGAAATGTTTAGTGAATCAGGTGCTCACTCTTTATAGAATCACCTTTTGAAGCTCGAAAGTGTCTTAATAAACTCTGGGGTGAGTGGGTATCTTGTTCTAACTCCTGTGAGAATTAGACTTGATATTATCATTTACTTTAGTATATTATTGGTCCAGATCTATATGGACTCCCTATTTATGATTTATAACATTATGTTGAAAAAAAAGATTCATGTACTCATAAGAACGTATGCACAAGCCTCGACAATTTACAGAACCATGGTTTATTGTTCATTGTTCATGTTCTTTGTTATATATTCTGCTATATCGTTCATTATGCAACAACATTGTTACATATTTATGCTCCCGAGTCCCAACTCTGTGAATGCCTTGAAACTGAATAACATGTAGCTGTTATTATCTCAACAAAAACACTATTTAAAAAAAGCTAGGGATAGCATGGAAAATTTGAAAAGAATTCTAGTGTCACATACTGACTAGAAATTGGAATAGAAAATATTAATATTAAAAGGGTAATTCACAAAGCTGCCAAAGGATCCAGCCATAGCTTTGGCTGATCCTTCGGCTCGCTTCGGTTGTGGGAGCCCTTCGGTTCAGTCTAAACAAAGGGCTGCTGTATGGGCTATACACTGTAGCTCATACAGCAGCCGAAGGCGTCCGAGCAACTCAGCTGAGCTGAAAACAAATGCTTTGGCTCGACTGAGTGATAGCCGAAGTGGTGCGAACGGCCTGCCGAAGGCCGGCGTTTTGCCCGGCAAATGGCAGCTGAGCGGAGCCAGCCGTGATTTCACAGCTGGCTCTGCCCAGTTGTAATGACAGATCAGCGTCCCCAAATGACATTAAACAAAAACAACTGGGCGGAGCTGGCTGTGACATCACGGCCAGCTCCGCCCAGTTGTTATTCCTTCGCCGGGACCTGCTAGAAGACTCCAGCAGGTGCCGGCCAATAGGAAACAGTTGGGCGGAGCTAACTGTCACTGCTAGCTCCGCCCAATTGTTTTTTTTCCATCTAAAAAATCTTTATTTATTTTTAAATGTTACTATTTATTTACATTTTTACATTTTTGTAAAAACTTTTTTTGTGTGACTATTTTCTATTCTGCTTGCTACCACGGAGGTGCCGGCCGAATGCCGCAGAGCATGTTCGGCTGACCGAAGTGCAGCTGTAGGCAGCCGATGTACGGCTGATTTGAGCCGATGCACGGCTCAAATCAGCCGTACTGAGCCAGAGCAAATAGCCGAACGTAGTTCGGCTCACTTCACTTTGGCTGGGTTATTCACTCGGCAGCTTTGTGAATAACCCCCTAAATATTTATTATTTATCTAAAAAATATAGAAAAACATAATTTTAAAATCTGACAATAATAATACAATACAAATCCACTATACAGTTTTTTTTTTAATTTAATGTAGTTTAACATTTTTATTATATAAGATAAGATAATAGTGGAATTGGTAAAAACTGCTGCTAAAGTTTTGCTGTCTTTGCTTTACCTTGTCTTCAGGCTCTGGTTAAGAAGAACACACCCTACTTTGGTGGTGAATCTGTATCCTATATTGACTACATGGTATGGCCCTGGTTTGAGAAATTCAGTCTTTTTGGATTAAAAACGTAAGAACCACCTCCCACTTTTTTTTTTCTTATTGTGTTTGTGATCTTGAATAGCTTGTTCTGAAATCATCCGTATTACCAGATTTTACTTGTGTTGGCTTCATCTAAAGTGCTATGATGTGAGGAAGCTGACCCAGGACAAGCTTACAATATGCATGTGCCCTTTACTCTCTACTTTTATTAAAAAAGCATGTCTCCTAAGTACCCCTGTTGCCCCCAATATGCATGTAACCCACCCATTATAATGCTGATATCAGTATTCCCATTGACATAGGGGCTAGTTTTTGAAGAGGTAGAAGCCCACAAAATGCATTTGTGTTACATCCTTGTGCCCTTTTCTAACTCTCGAGCCCTGAGAACGAGTGGCAAAAGTATATTACAAATAATAAAGACTTAACAGCTTGTACTCTCAAAGTCCTCCTGTCCTGAAAAACAATGCCCTTGTGTATGATGGCCTAACCAAATATTGTCTACATACAAGTGCCACGTGTATGTGTTATTGAATCTTGGTGTGCTTTGTGTATTTCTTTCGGATCTGGGCAGTATTCCAGTGTGAAACTTTGCCTCTGTGCAGGAGCTTCCTGTAAAAATTGAAAAAAAAAGGTCCAGTCATTGCTGCTCTCTCTAATTGTTCAGGGTGACTGGTCTTTTTTGTGTGCATATGGTTAAACTTCAATGTTTTGTCCTGTCAGTAGTTTATACGTCTAAAGATCTTTAATACAAAGGATATCTCTTTACACATGCACATGTTACAATTGCTAAGCAGGAGAAGGCAACACAAAGTAGACACCTCTGGTGCCAGATTATTTTGGTGGTGTTCATGTGGAAGGTGATGGGCCACCACGGCTGGCTAGTTGATTTCTTTTTTTTCTTCTTTTCATAGTCTTGTGGATGAGACCCCAAACATCAAAGCTTGGCTGGATCGTATGCTACAAGACCCAGCTGTCAAGGCAAGCTACATTGAGCCAGAAGTCTTCTTGGCATTTTGCAAGCTCTACGCACAGAACAATTTGGAAGCTGTTGATTACGGACTTGATTGATCTAGCAATTCTCTAATATTTCCAGCTGTGTCTTGTACCTTTTAATACTGTTTCATGTGTTTCCCAACTTCACCCCACCGAGGCCACTAACGGCATTTTTTCCATCCATCTGCACAGCAGTGAAAGGAAAGGAGAACCAGTCAGAACATGATTCTGTGAGAGGGTCTAGAAGACCGGAGCTCTTGGTGGTCCCTGTTGGTGTTTGAGGGCTGGTATGGGAAATGCTGATCTCAAGCACTTGTACTTCAAGTTAACAATGCACTTCTTTTTTTTACACAAACTGAGCCTCTTCTTTCTAGCTTACTGTATGTGACAATGGTGCATCCAGTGCATGGGTTGCAGTGTTTCTTATGAGAATTCTGGCTTTTTCAGTCCAATAAAGGAAATGTATCAAAGTGAGGGTATTTTGTTTTAAAACATATTTTATGCGTGTGTCTTTGCTTGAAATTATTTTACATGTATTCATTATTTTAAAGAAAATTGTGTACATGGTATAAGTTATAAAGTGACAGCTGGAATTTGCCCTGGACAACAAAATCTGTGCAAACATTAAATATACATAAAAGCAAATTTAGATTCCTAGATTAGGCATACAGAAGATACTAGAAGAACTCCACTGTTCCTGGGGGAGATCACATTCAATTTCAGAGGAGAAATTAATATACAGTGGGGCAAAAAAGTATTTAGTCAGCCACCAATTGTGCAATTCATCACAAAATGCAAGTGGTGGCGCAGGATCCTAAAGAAACAAATCTAAAGAATTTGATGCTAATGGTATAATCTTAGAAGCACCATCTTTGTGTGTATATCTATGTTAGACATACACACATATTGCTAGGATACCATATGGCTTTTGTAACTTTGTGGTTATGGCAAATAAAAAGAATTACAAATAAAAACAAAAAACTATGCCCCAAAAAAAGGCATGCAGAGGAAAATGATTTGTCACCAGTATTGCCTGTGGTCTTCCTGCAGCTTATCTTTCACTATTACTTATGCCTTTTTTTTGCACTGTGTTGAGGTGGCCATCTTGATTAAAAACATGGCTCTGCTTCCTCATGGCAAAGTTTCCAGCAAAGAGAACAGTGAGCTGCGCAGTAGTGACATCACCAAATATCACATCAGATCTGCGAAGACTGGCAGTTTGAGACAGAAGTGCTTTAGATCTCTCGCAAATACACAGCTATGTGGCAGTAGGCAGACTCGCATACCAGGAAGGGCAGAAGGAACCAGACAAATGGTACTTTTTTAGAATACTGTTAAGGCAGAAGTAACATTTCTAGATCTTAATAACAAGCACATATTAGCTTTTTGAGCTCCTTTTCAAGCTGTCCTTTTATTAACTGTAAAATACAATAACCAAATCGCTTTTCAAAAAGTAGTCCTCGATCTCCAGTCCTTTGAGTACACCTAGGCTTGCGAGAAGCACCTTGAGAGAATGATGTCCTCAGTCTGTTGCAGGCAGTAGGTTGTTTTTCCTCTGTATTTTCTCCCCTGTCATCTTACTCACCTGGATTGTTGTAACACTGAATTATCTGGCAGTTCACAAGTTAAGATGCAGCTGGCACTGATATGTGGGAGACAACATTTTTATGCACAGCCATATAAAGGCTGCAGTCTAGGCACAAACATGTATATAGAAGTATTACCTGGGCCAGCATTCATGTTGTGCAACCCTAGGTTGTGCTCCCTAGGTTCACCCTGCTCAAGCACCAGGAACAGTCCAAAGAAAACCAAAGGTCAGGATAGACACAGGACACGGATAACCAGAAAGAGCCAGTAGTCGGGATGGGCAGCACACATGGATAACTAGGATTGAGGACAGGAGTGGTGGCAGATGCTGATAACTTGGAATGAGCCAGAGGTCAGGATGGGCGTCTGGCAAAGATAACCAGGAACAAGCCAGAAGTCAGTACAGAGGAAATAATGGAGGATGCGGGCATGATAGCTGGAAGGCGTAGAGCCTCCGCATATAGTGTGTAAATGTTCAGCTCGGGTAGAGACCTGTGTGCTTCACAGAGTTTAAATAAGGTGAGCAATAGGAAGGAACCACTTAGATTGGCCACAAACTGACAGGGGGAGAATGGTGCAGTACAAATTGGCTGAGAGGCTGCTATAACAATCAGCAGGTAGGATCAGGCGACCCTTAAAGCTGCCCAACCAGTGCAAGAGCAAGGTAGCTGCAAAGCTGATCACTGACAGTACTAACAGAATGGAGTAGGTGGAGTAAGAGCAACCCACATAGATTTCACTGTATGAGATTTACTAGAGGTGGGAGTGTAATTTTCAGAGCTGGAAGTTCAGGGTTTACAGTTGTGTTAGGATTAATGAAAGTTAGAGTTTATTCCTAATGCAACAGCATCCACCAATGGAGCACACATCATTAGGGGTAATTCATTTTTACATAACAAATGTGCAAACACTGTTTTCCCCCCCCCCTGAGTTCCGCTTTAAATGTTGGACATAACATTTGTGACTCCTTGTTCAGTGAATTTGTAAACTTGACATTTTGACCCCCATACCTGCTCACCAAATGCAAAGTTACAAGTTTCTGTTAAATCATGGAAGTACTTGTGAAATTCTACTGTATTAGGAATAGCAGGCCTAGTGTTAAGGCATGAAGGGGCTGTTTTTTCTAATAATTTTTTAAATAATTTTTGGAGAATGTATTAAGAAATAATTTCTTCATGCTTGATGAATAAGAAAGAGGTAACCATAAAACTATTCTAAAATGTCCATACGTTCAACAGTGTTGTGATTTATTTAATACATTTGCCCTTTAAATGTGTGCACTGGGGGTGTGAACAGCTGCTTGGCTCAAGCACTCATTTATTTTTCATATTTTCTATATTTGAGAAGGCCAAAAATTCAGAATCAGCACTTGCTCTCTGCAACTCCTTAGAAAGGATGGGCCATGTCTGACCGGTAATAATAGGAAACTCGCCTTATTGTATAGAAGAAAAAAAAGGTGAGGGTGAGGGCTTCATCACTGTGACAAAGCACAATACGATCAGAAGATCAAGAAAGGCAAACATAAGAACTAACAGGGCAGGGTTATCTTTAAATACATCTCATAACAGCTCATTACTATGGTTATTTCCCAGAGGTAAATGTCAATGTTTGGATGGCTCTCATCAAACTAAAACAGGACAGCCCAAAACCTGATTGTCCAGTTTCTGAGGTGGAGAAAAGCAGTCTGCATCCAGAAATCTCCGTGTATAGTGCCTCTGAAGAATGTCAAGAATGTATTGAAAAGTGAAAACAACAACATGCAGCAATAGCACTGATATGTCCCATTTCTAATAACACAGCAGTGAACAATTGGACTGGATTCCGCATGAAGGTTCTGGTTGGTAGCATTCTATCACAGACATTGCAAGTTATGCATTTAGGAATATAAGGTTAGAGTAATGCATTTAGGTGACGAAGCCAAAGTTTAAACTACTCCTTGCCACCCTCATCAACATGCCAATTAAATAAATAAATAAAAACCTTTCTGTTTTAACAACATACTTTATTTTAGAAGAAAAAAGGTGACTGCACACCATGGATCTGGTTTCCTAACCATTGATTTGATACCTATAGGGTGTTTTAAGAGATGTCCAACAGACAAGATTAGGACTGCTGGAAGGAATGACCAGCATAGCGAATAAGAATAAGAGAGAATTTGAACAAGGATGTAAAGTTGGACTTTTTTGGGTAAGTAGGAGGTGGAGGGAAAGGTGGGGACAGGATGGACTAATGTATGACCAAAATCTTTGAGCATATATTATTGCCAAATCCGCATCTAGATGTTTAAGATGGCGTAATACTATATTACGTTTTTGTGGAGAGCGTGAGCCTTTAACATTCAAAGTGACAATTTTCATAAAAATCCCCAACGTGGATGACTTTAACAATAGTAGTTGTATATTCCAACAGTAGTAGGAGGACTGAACGGAGATTGCTTACATACCCAAACCGGACACTCAGAAGGCCCAGAGATAAGCCTAAAGGAAGGAACGATGAAGAACGAGGTGCAACGGGACACCACCCACCACACAGCAATAAGGGACTGGAAATCTAGCATGCAACCAGCAAAATGGGAGAAAAAGATTGAAACCAGTGGTGTATTTAGGTTTTGCGCTGCCCTAGACAAGCCTACACTTGGGCGCCCCCCAATCTACATTTGCCCCACCCCTTCCTGTTTATGACATTTTACATAAGCATGCACACTGTATCCAGCTTCTGACAGGTTGTGTTAATAGCGTAGCAGGAAAGCCAGGGTCTCAGGTGGGCTGTAAAGGATCTCTTGTGGGCTCTGCTGGGTCTCGGCCTGAGACCCTACACACCCCACCACAGACCCAGCACAGCCCACCATTGATCCTGCACAGCCCACTGAGAGCCTGCAGTGCCCACCATAGAACCCGCAGAGCCCACCACAGGCCCCGCATAGCCCACCTGAGACCTTGTAGAGCCCACCATAGACCTTGCATAGCCCACCTGAGACCTTGTAGAGCCCACCACAGAACCTGCATTGCCCACCTGAGACCCCGCATAGCTGGACAATGTATATTTGTTTGATCTGGATTCATCATTGAACAAAAATATTAAGAGTTTAATACTACTGTAAAGAATTAAAATTTTTTGTGTATCTATATATATCAACTACTTCAAGACCACCCACCATAAAAAAAAGTAATGTCCTGAAGTACTTATACCAAGAACATGGCTGCTGCAACCGTGTTCTTGGTAATATTTTAGACAGCAGGCGATTGTTTAGATACAAGCCATCTGGCGGCTATACAGATCTCTGCTTCATAAGTTTCTTTGGGGTCCCTAGGTGACATTAGTGGTCTGAAAGACCCCTGATGTCTTCATAAAGAGGACCTGTCACACCATATTTGCTGTTATATAGGGGGCTTGTAAGCCCCCTATGTGATAGCAATAAAGTTAAGTGTAAAAAATAAATAAAATTAAAATCATATATAAAAAAATGCAAAACGTTTTTTCGAAGTCCCCCGCCCCCACATGC